TAAATATAGTAATAAATTGCTGAAACTGTTTGTAATATTTGCTGATAATGTGCTTTATCAACCGCGATAAATGAACAATAGTTCGTCTAGTCGTAACAGTGAAGGCAATAAAATTATTAGCATCAAATAAAGAGAATTTTAAATTCCTCACCTTTCGGTAGAGAGAGAAAATTGAGAAAAACTAGCGACAAGGAGACGAATCGTCTGCTCTGCCGAGTTTCAGGAGGGAACAACGCGCATCTCACGCTCCGCCTCTGCTTTAAATTGAAGAATAAGACTCGTGAAGGAGGAAAAACTGAACAGAAGCTACCATGCGCCGGGAGGGACACGGTGGTCGTCGTTGCCGCCATTTTACGGGCTGATTGCCGTAAGAGGTCTCTTATCCAATTCATCATCCGTGTTGTATTTTTATGGACGCGAAATGACATTAATACCCTTGAGAAGCTGGGGGATTTACTTTCTTTGTCACTTTACGGTTACCGCCAAGAATCTTCAAGTATTCCATCTATAAAACATTCTTACTCTCACATTACCAATATACTGTAATAAAACCCCTTTAAATGATGAAGAAATTGTGATTTCCATACTTTCTGTAAGTTCGTTCATCACTCTTTGTTTTCAGAATTTGATTCATTGCTGGTGTTTCTTTAATAAGAAAGATTGAAAATTTATTATTTCTTGGATGAATATATACAGGGTTTCTTTTTCCTTCTTGAATTGGGTTTTCTATGAAGAGGCAAGGTGAGAATTGTCAGGGGACAAGAAGAAAGTCAGGGTTGAAAAGAAGCAGGTTGTTTAAGGAGGATAGAGGAAAGAGTAAGCAAATAGAGGTTAGAGTACAGAATAAGAGGCAGGGTTCTCGACCCTTTGTTCCTTCGCTCTTGGATCTTTCCTTACGAGTTCTTGCAGAGAATGCCGAGGGGATAGTTTCACTGGAACTGGTTCCAGATTTGCTTAAAGAAAGACTAACTATTTTGTTGTGCAATATGCGTAAAATGGATGTCCATATGCTGAATCTCCTATTAAAACCATGTCCAACTGTGATACGAGTAAAGGACTGTTCGTGGCTCACTGAATCACAATTTCGGCAGACATTTGGGAATTGTGACACAGAAAGTCTGAGGGTAACTAATTCTGCCTTTCCTTCCATATTAATATGTGCTAGGGTAGCCTCTATTGAAGTTGCATATACACTTGGTCATTTCTATTTCTTCTTTGTTCAGGCATAGTCAATATTCTTCTCATCTTGTATTTTACTTGTGTGTATATAATATTTTCTAGAATCTTGTTTGATATTTTTTATGTTTGTTTCATATCGTCATCGATGGATATTAAGGCCATTTCAGTTCCATTAAATTTAGAATTTCAGATTCCGGGAAAATATCCAAGTTCAAATTGGTAAATGTAATACCTCAAATAATTAAATGTTCCATATAGCACTAGGATGAAATGAAAATGCTTAAGATAACAAATTTATTTAAGAAACACATAGCATTGAACCATGAACTCTGGTCAAAAGCACTGAAAATTCGTAGAGGTTCATATATTGATACGTTCTCTGCTGGTTTAAATCAGCGTGTATTATGTTTTTATTTTCATTTGCTTACATTGTTCTTGTATTGAGTGTTAAGCTGTCAAAGATCAAGGTGTATGTATTGGAAGTGAAGACGCTGAGATGGATGTGCAGTCATACTGAATTAGATAAGATAAAATATAATAATATATTTTAATTAGTGGAGGTGACGCCGATTAAGAATATATTAAGGGAAGGAAAGGATGACTAAGCTAAGCTTGGAACAAAGAGGTTGGATTGTTTACTTCTCTTTACTTAGGGTTAAAGATAAAGGCCTGGCTGGCCGTGAAGGATTAATTAATAGACATTGAGCCAGTAACAAGCACCTAGTCCTAGCAAAATGAAAAGCAGCAAGCTGAAACTTAAAGCAGCTCTTTTTTATGAACCTTTTGAAAATGTAAATTAAGAGAAGTTCAGTAGGTGTTTGGGTCTAAAGAAGCAGCTGTTCATATGAGTGAAGTGATTTTGGTATAGCAAGTTAGAATAGGGTAAGGTACGCCAAAATTAAAATGGCATGTTGTGGTTGCTAAAGATCTAGTTGCTTGAGATCTCCCAATAGATCTAACAATGAGCACGGCTGAATGGCAAAACAGGATTTGTGTAGCCGGCCTTAAAATCCAGGGGTTGTTTGACAAAGATTTTGATAAAAGTTGATAAAATGTCTAGTAGGGAAATTGATAGTTGTAGATTCCGTGAAATGTATGGTTTAAATTAATTTTTGACTTTGATCTAACTTTTGAAGCTATTCCAAACAAACTTACTTGGGAATAAGGCTAAATTTGATAAAAGTTGATGGAATGTATGATTGAAAAGTTGTGCGTCCCATAAAATGTGTGGTTAAAGTTAATTGTTGACTTTGACTTCAATTTTAATATACATTTCTAACTGAAACAAATAGGATCTTCGTTTGTTGTTGTTGTATTGTTCTTGGGTTGTGTGGGGGAAGGGAGGTTTATTTGTGTAGTATTTATTCTTATCATGCACTTCGATGGTATTATTTTTGATGTAGCTAATTTGTATGGATTTTATACTCAGGTACTTCAACTTGATCTATGTGGGCAGTGTATGCTTGATATCGCACTCACTGATACATTAGCTCGATCTTTAAATAGCTTGCCGAATTTAGCTACTGTTTCCTTGAGGGGTGCCTGTAGTTTATCAGACAATGGGATTAAAGCACTTGTAATGTCTGCATCCGCATTGCTGTCTATAA